CGACTATGCATACTACCAGCAAGCCAAGAAATATCCTTGGCCGTTTTGAGATAGCCATGGCGTCTTTATCTGTCGCTCGGTTGCCGTTGAATTGGCATGTAGGGTCGAGACTGTGCTCAATGGGAAGTTTGTGAACTGAGCGCACTCATCGCCGTCCAACAGACTGCTCGAGGGAAGAATTGGGCAGATGATGGACTTTTGCTTCTATGGTGGTTGGTGGGGAGAGCGGAAGCCAGAGATTCGGAAATAGGAGCCATGTTCGCGTTCAATCTTCCTCCCTCAGCAACATCAAGGGGATCCGAGGCGTTGCCAAGATGCCAAGAGACGCGTGGAGAGGAACCTTGTCTAGTGGATTTGCTTGTGATTTTTGGGGTACCTGGTCGCAGGCACACCATAAGCGGGGCTGTCAGACACTGTTGTCCAATGACATCACCGTGTCTTCCAGGGGCACGGATGAGATCTTACGCTTTCGTACATCGTGTGCAAGGGGGTTGCAATGGTCGATCTCATGTTCTCATACGGTGCGCCGTCGGTTAGGTTCCAGGGATAGATGATAGGAACACTGTTCCCTTGTCGTAGCCGGTCGAAGAGACAAGTAATCACCACAATTCGAGCGGTTGATGTGAGGTCGAAGGATTATACATAGGTACTATTTGTTACTGGAAGGAAGGAGGATGGCCCGTAAGCGCGAGATGTCTTCGGGACTGGCTTTGCAGCAGCCCCCAACGACGATGCAAGGCCACTTCACTCGGGCCTGTGTGCTTTTGACGACTCCGGCAAGCTGGCTTTCCCAGGAACTCTGTCCCGCGGTCAGCCATTACCCTTTGAAGCGTTAAGACGACCGTCAGAGGGGATGTTACGTACCTTGGGTGCATCCTTACCCGCAGGCAGCTCCCATTGCTGCGTGGTCGTGTTGTAGACCTCACCATTTGTTCCGTCAGGATAGAGAACCAGCGCGGGCAAGTCCTCGATCTCTCCAGTGCTGAGCATACGCTGTACAACCTCCTCAAACCTGTTCACTAACGCAGGTAACTTTGACACCTTGGTACAGTTGATGCCGATCATCCAAGGTATGGCAGTGGAAACGACCTTGCTGAGCATGGAACAGACAGCATCTTCGACTGGCGTGCCATCAGGTAACGCCATGAGTTTCTCGTCACCGGGGAATACGCACGATATCGAGAAGCGGGTTGATACAGGCACCAGTCCTTGTCTCTTACTCTCTTCCATCGTCTTTCGGATGGCGATGATCTCGTCATGCCTCGGGATAGTCTCAAATGCGATGTAGGCCACGTCGCTCCACACTCTAGGTATAGCGGTGAACACGCTGAGACGCTGTAAATGCCATGCCTTGAGGACGTCGGGCGACGAATGCTCTTGATCGTACTGGCCGCTATATTCCTGGCTAGGCACCATCGTTGCGCCATAAGGTCCCAGAGCTAACGCAACCTTCTTGCCGCCATCCTTTGCCTGCGCTGCATCCGAGGCCAGGCGTACTGCATCTTTCAGGAAGCTGCCTATATGTGACACCGGTACGCCATTTGGCCAGTCGGGAGTGCAAGTGTTTGCAAACCCATCAATGGACGTTTGGTACGTCGCTGTAGATATAACGTCTGCTCCTCCGGCAACGAAGTCACGGTGGCCCTTGGCCAGGGTGGACTGGTCTGTGACGAGGAGATGTGACGACCATAATGGGGTCTCGGCACTGTTGAACTTGATATTATATTTGTCTTCCAACAGAGTCCCTAGCCCGCCGTCCAGTATGAAAATAGGTGTCGAGGTATCCATGGTGTTCACATTATATGATGAGATGAACTGGACAACCGAGCCAAAGCGGGCCAAGTGTGCTCGATTTTGTGGGGTCGCTCCTCTGATCCTTCGGCCTAGTCTAGACTTCATCACCAGCTAAGCCTCCACGGTCTAGGCTCGGGAGTATTCTGACGATGAGCTTGTCTTTGAGAGAAGTGATGATTCCTGCTGCGTCGTGAGAACCTGGATTGTAATGTGAGCTTCCTCATGGCCCGTCAACTTGGTAACGACCAGTACCTGTTGACTCGACGCCCAACGACAGCCTGAACCAGCATCCTTTACCGCTCTTTCGAAACTAAACCAACAGGCACTTACAATGGTCAACCTACTCTCTGCGCTCGTCAACTTTCCCGGGTCCGCCTCGATCGCCAACACTGCGAAGCAATTATCCGAGGCTCCACAATCACCATCACCGCCGCCATCCAACATTACTCAGTTCCCGGTAGGCGCATCGTGGCAGATTGTCCTCCACCAGAGGCTCGCTGTTCCGCCATCAGGAGATTTCCAGCCGGACTTCGTAAACGTGTGGGACATAGATCTCCTCGAGAACACCGAGGGTGGCGCAGATAACACCACCATATTATTTCTCAAGAACCTCCCATCTCACCCAAAGGTGATCTGCTATTTCTCGGCTGGTTCTTACGAGAACTGGCGGCTTGATTGGCCGACGGACTTCGACAATGACAACTATGGCAGTCCACTCAAGGGATGGGACGGCGAGTACTGGTTGGATATTGGCAGTGAGGCCGTGCAAGAGGTGATGTTTAATCGGATACGAATGGCCGCGGAGCTGGGATGCGATGCGGTTGATCCCGACAATGTCGATGGATATGTGAGTGTCTGCTGCATCACTCTCCCGTACTTGAGTGATGACTGACCCCTCCTGTAGGGCGAGGCGCCGGAAAACAAAGGCAACAGAACAGGCAAGCCGTTCACCTTGACACAGGACAAAACAGTGGACTTTTTGGAGAAGCTAGCGAAAGTGGCCCATGAGAACAGCATCGCGATCGGGCTCAAAAACGCACTGGAAGTCCTTCCGAGGCTTCAGAATGTGGTGAACTTTGCGGTCAACGAGCAGTGCGTGGAGAACAAGGAGTGCAGCAGCTACTCGAGCTTTGTCTCCGACCTGGGCAAGCCTGTTTTCCATATCGAATATCCCAACGGTGATGATCAGCCGGAGACGATACCTATTCGGGACACTGAAAAGTGGTGCAGAACATATGAAGAGGATGGGGTTGGAACGGTGAATATCAGTAAGCTAAGCACTGTTTTCAAGGATATGGAGCTGGATGGTTGGGTTGAGTACTGTGACGGGAAGGAATTCCGGACGTCGCTGGCACCGTAGGTTACTTACTTCTGCACCGCACCATCCGTAAGATAGTGTTTAAAGACGAGGTCTCTTCCGTCAGTGTTTATGTTCTTCCTGGTTCCCTAGCTTGTCCTTGTCTGCCGCCGGTTGAACAGCACAACACCACAGGAGTCTGTTCTCTGAGTATGGGCTTGCATTGTGCCTGAAAAGGACCAGGCCGAGGTATATCTGTGATCCTTTCTACCTGTCACTTGTCCCCGGTCGAAGCAAGCGCCCGGTTAATAAGCCCCTCACTGTTCGCGGGATACACGCTCCCTTCAACTGTTTTATAGCGGTCACACGAAGAAACGGCTGCCTGTTGTTGAGTCAAGGCAAGTCAAGCTTATCATAGCAGGCAACCCCTCATATGCCAGCGGAGCGTTTGGCTACAAGTGCCACGGTTCATCGCCCATCAACATGAGATGCGGACGCCCGCATAGCCCCCGTTTGCAGAAACCGTGAACAACACTTTACATGTGTTAGCCATGGTCGACAAACAAACATCACTAGGGCTCAAGGGAGATTAAGAGGTTAGCTTACCCCAGAAGCTGGTAATCCAGGACATTACACTGTCTGATTCGTGCCTGTTTGTGTCAACTGAGACGCATCGCGGTGCTCGATGGCCAGAAAGAAGACCAAGGCACAACGCCAGGCGGCTTTGGCACTTGCCTGGGACGACTATTTCGGTGGCGGCGAGCTAGCTGACTGGCAGCGCCTTCTTCACGACCTGGGTATCGAGGGCGACTTCACCAGCAAGAGACAGTGCAAGAAGGTAGGTAGATCCTGGCAGTTCACCGATGCGACTTACACGCTGACCCAACCTTTCACAGGCAATGGCAGGCGTCTGGATCAACATTTGCGACTTCCTCGCTGCGCCCGACAAGCGAGCTGTGCATCACTTTTCAACCGAGCAGGAGCTGTCTCAGTACACTCTGGCAAGCAACCGATGCTTCCCCAAGCAAGTCATCGTGGACGCACCAAAAGGCAGTCCCCTCAAATTGCTGTTGGCGCATATCCTCGAGCCTAGGCGTCCGCATCGTAGGCAGAATAAAGCGAGACGATAAGGGAAGGACCATGGCACTAGAGATATGGTTTGATTTGGATGAAACCGCCTGGCTGAACGAAGGACAGCAGCTTGTTGATCGTGCGCCCCAGGTTGCCATGCTGTCCCTACCGTCACCACCATACTGTTGTGCCATAGTACCCATTACTTGCATGCGAAGAGCGGGTAGCCGGGCTTTAAACGTCCTTGGATAGGAGACACGTACGTACAGCTGTGGCTTAACGTTCCAAAGTTTGCCATCACAGCTGTTATGTTAGGTGATGTTTCTTGGATAGTCTTTGTGTGTATTGGCAGACTTCCGAGTCATTGCTCGTGAAGGCCAAGCAACCCGTGAGGTTTCTGAAACAAGCCATTATACACTTGGCGGGAACAGATCTGGCATGGACTTGCTGCATTCTCGACAGGATAGTATATCGTGTGACCGGCAAGTCTCTCGAGGAGTTAAATGCACAGTTCCGCCAACCTGTGGCTGGACAGAGTCAGCTCGTAGAAGCGAATCTGTAATTTGGCTCAGGAAATTGCAGTATGGCTCTGGACGAATAGACGGGCAACACTCTTCCTGGTTGTTACTATACCTTTTTCCTGAAAGTCAGCTGTGCCTCTGGGCGGCAGCGGGTGAGGACGACAACTCATTATAGACCTTCGGTCTTACTGATAAAAGAGGTCAAAAGAACGGTAGCTTATTCACAAGTGGGTAGGTATTTCCTAAGCGACCAATCAACACAAAACGTTTACGAATACGACTAGCCGAACATGGCAATAAGGAGTTCAAAAATAGTGGGGCCAAACCGGGATTTGAACCCGGGACCTCCTGCAGATGGATTTTAACCCAAAGCAGGAATCATACGACTAGACCATTTGGCCAAGATATAATAGAATGTGAAAAAAGAGAAATCATGCTCGGACTTGTTGTATTATGGTTCATCAAGAATAATCCCATCATTGACTTGTTTTTGGCTTGATCCAGTGAGGTCTTGGAATCGCTAATGCAACACTAAGTGGTTTCCTGAGGTGGTGCCTTCCACACGTGGTTCCATGAGGTGGTGCCTTCCAACATGTGGTTCCATGAGGTCGTACCTTCCATAAGTTGCCGCGGGTGGGGCCTATAAGATCGTCGATGATGCCATGGCCAGCGACACGTCTATGTCTTCACCATTGAGACCTTCTCTCACCGGTTAGTACAAGAAGTACTCGATCCCATACCAGTCAACAGAATGGCAGTCACAAACTTCGTTTTCATCAAGTCTACGGACTTCTCCAAGCTTGAGAAGCAGGCCGCCGAAGTAAGAGCGATCGATGGCGTGAGCCATGTCTTCTATGGCCCCAAGATTGAGGATCCCCAAGTGAGCGTGCTCGTGGCCGGTAAGCTCGGATTCTGCATCGATGCGCCCTTCTTGTTTCCCATTCAGTATAACCAGTTGACTAACGAAACGACCAGTGTGGTCCTCTGCCCCCAACCAGAAAGCACTCGCGTCAGCGGTTAGCGATGCAACCGAGACCCGCACCGTAGATCTGGACGACCTCAAGGCCCTCCAGGCACCGGCGACGGAATGTCTCACATGTTTCGGCATCGAGTCTCATTTCGTGAAGAACGTTCAGGACTTCAGTGCCAAGATGGACGCTGGTAAGCCCAGGGGATATCATGGCGGTGTTGTGGGCAAGGTGAAGGAGCAGCTTGATGGCAAAGGGGATGCGGTTATGTTGCTTATCGGCTGGGATTCAAAGGAGATCCATGAGGAGGTCAAGAGTACGCCGGGAAATGGTGAGTTCCCCCTAAAAGAGAGAGGAGGGCGTGGGTGAGAGGGACTTGCTAACGAGAAGGCCCCGTGATAGTGATTATTGAGAACATTCACCTACTGAGAGATGGACACAAGGGGTTGGATATGTTCCATGTCAACTTCAAGCAGCTTTGAGCGCGAGGAGACATACCGCGCCGTGTACCACCAGTCAGTCAGGCCGGATAGCGGGTTTTCCTGCCGTGTTCACGAAGTGCACGGTCAGAATGACACTGCAGGCACCTGGCGTTTGCGAAGGTTCCTGTAAGCGTTCGTGGGGCCTGATAAGCAGTCTACTTTGACAACTTAGATGATCATGGCTGTTTACGTCCGTTCGTTTTTCTCCCTGGTCTTGTCACAGATGTGATCGTGCCGTCCGCTCCAGGCTTGGGGCTGCATGCTTCGAGACTTAGTAAGTCAGGACATCCTCCACGTTCTTGCCACCGTCACTGCCAGAGAAGGAGCAATGATCAAAGCAAAAATTGTGGTACGATCACATCAAAACGTACAAGCTCAAGAAATTCCTGGTGGGCTGGTACAGACAATAAATTGGTTGATTACAAGGTTGAATTCATTCAAAACATAGCGACGCAAGGAAGAGCAACGTCGAGCTACATAACGACAACCTAGTCTAGATACTCTCGACAGCAATAGAAGAAAGTATGGTAGCGCAGTTAGACCCCTGGACTGGCCCAATCTCGACAACAGATCGTAAAGTGCCGGCGACGTTCTGCGTGCAAGATTGCAGGAACAGAGAGATACCAGGGAACGAGGTCTGCGTCAGCGCGAGGGTGTACGGGTCTATGCTCCACGTAAAACCCCGATACACGGGGGACGACGACTGTGCAAGCCACTGATCGGTCTGAAACGCGAACATAGCAAGCGCCGTGCTGGTGCCCGCCCTTAGGTTGGTCGCATACGGGTCGGAGTAGAAGGCATATACTGGCGCGGAGAAATGCGTGCTGAGGAACCAGAGGCGGTTGGAGGCGTCCAGGTGGAAGGTGAGGGACTCGGCGGCGTTGGCAGTCGGGGTGAGGATGTCATAGAGGTTGCCGTAACGGAGCTGGTTGAAGTAGACCCTGGTCCCGGTAGAGTCGACGCCCGTGAGGCGGAAGTCGGTTGGCACCGGTGGCGGTGCCACGGTTGCTGTTGTAGTTGTTGAGGTGGTGACGGTGGTTGCTGAGGTGCTAGTGGCGAGCACAGTCACGGTGGCGGATGTGGTGGTCTCGTCGGTTACGGTGGCCGAGGAAATCTGCGTCTGTGCTGGGGCAGTGGCCGTGGTAAGACTGACGGCGACGGGAATGGTGAGACAGGCGCAGGCGCTTGATATCCGCGATGCATCGTAGGAGGATAGGACGGTCTCGGACAGAGGTTTCTTAGGGTTAGTGCGCTTCCTCACTGGCGTTGCTACTTGTTGCGTCGTGACGGTGAGGGTTGCTGTGGCTGTGGTCGTCTTTGTTGACACAGCGGTGTCGATGCTGGTGATGGTCGATGTGAGAGTGTCCGTCAGGCTGACCGTTGCTGTTGTTGTGGAGAGCCTAGCAGTAAAGATCAGCAACAGGCTGGGGATGAACTCACCAAGGGAAGGGCCACTTACACGATAGGGTCCACGGTAGACACTACCGACGTTGATCCTGGGTAGTGGAGGTATGAGCTGCAAAATGGCAGGGCTTGCGGAAGGTTCGTCGGGGTCCGAAGAAGTCGAAGGAGGTTATCTGCGTTACAGGTCCCTCGCTCTTCTACTGATGCTCTGGCGAAGACGTCTGCATCGTCTCTGGGACTAGCAGGAGCGCCAGCAACAAACGGCACTCCCACGAGGAGAGCCGATAGTAAGAAGGACTGCATAGTGAGTTGTTATGTGCAAAGGAGATCTTCGCCCAGGGGAAATGTGCCGGCCACGGGAAGACACACTCAGCGGCCTCCTTATGGCTTAAAACTCAAGTCATCACATACATAAGGAAGCATCTCGACGCAGGCGCTAGACTGAGCTAACTGTCAATAGTCCATCCAGAATCTGCCATCTTGGGCCATCTACTTGCACTAGTGATGGGGCAAAGTAACTGCCAAGCCTTCCGGCACTCCGCTAGTCAATTCTGTGCTTACTATCCGCTTGTTCTACCATACCGTAAGTGAAGTCATAAGTGAAGCGAGGGGAAATCGGGTAGTAGACTTATTTCACATGCAAAACCTAAAGCGAAGCAACGCTGCCTCCTTATAACACGGCCAACTTCAAGCAGTTGGTAGAACTGGGTCTAAGGTAAGTGGTGCCTCTTCCCTAGCCGCTAGATGTGCCGGCGATGTCTATGCGTGCCGCGATGTGTGCTGCTAGATAGCACTTTTCCCGTACTCGTGGTGGTGAGCGTTGCAACAAAACTATTCACGGCGGATCAACTCAAAAGCCTACCACCGGACCGCGGAGTTGTGGTAAAATCGAGAGTAAGGTACCTAGGCTTTGGGTCATACTTGCGGACGAAAGCCACCTGCATCTTATGAACACACGCATGTTGTATTGCAGTCTCACCGAAGCGGATTCAAGTTGACAAAGGATACTCTTTCAACATGGAGAGTACAGGATGAGAAGAACGTATCTGATCAGGTAAAGCTAGGAGTAGCACGGCTGCACACCCTGTAGGGTAGGCCAAAGGAATCTCCACTCACCAGACCAAGCTTTTTACATGTAACACTGGAATTCCTGTCCAGAGACCGCATGCGATTGCGCAGAACATCACCCGTGCAACCTCGATTGTGTCCGACGTCATGCCCTCATGCAACGGTCCGCCGCAATGAACAACATCAGTTCCAGCCCATTGGGTTTGGTTGTGGCGGCGGCAGGCGGCGGCAGGCAACGGCAGCGGCTGGAAATTGGAATGAAGTCAGATTAGCCAGGGGCCCAGAAGGATCCGGCTGTTGGGAATAGGCCCTATGAGCGCCTCGCCAATCCCTGGTCGAAAAGGACCTTCGGGGCGGGGCCCGAAATTAGGGGTAGGTACAGTTCTGTGTCATGGGCACAACGTTACCCTATGCTGTGCCTTGGTATAGCTTTTAACGGTCTGGATACCTGCTACAACTTTTTGCCTTTGTCCTTAGACATCTTCATTCCTTTTCTCAAGAGTTTCTTGTTTACCGGTCGCATATAGTCGCTCATTACTTCATGCCGTTCTGGCCAGTCATTCTTTTGCATATTACGCTCGTTTTTGCTGTCATCTGCAAACCGGATTTTCGATAGACACCATAGCTGCTATTTGACGTTGTCAGACACCCATCATGCGTTTCACCCTTACTACTGCCGTGCTGGCCTTTGCGAGCTCCGTCCTCGCAGCCGATCCCACTGACGGATTCGACGTCATCTCAAAACCCGGCCAGGATGAGCAGGTGCCAGCCGGTGCGACCTACGAGGTCACCTGGGAGCCCAACAGCAACTACACTGGCACCATAAGTCTGAGTCTGCTCGGGGGCGCATCGCAAGGCACATTGCAAAACCTGGGTCCCCTCGCCAGTAAGCGTCACTCGTTCGCCGCGCGTGTTTTGGTCGTGATGCAGGCTGCTAACCACTCGGTCCGTGTAGCTGGCATTGACGGGGCTGCGGGCAAGTACAGCTGGGAGGTAGAGAAGTCGCTCGGCAAGGACAAGGTGTACGGTCTCATCCTCGCCCTCGAATCCAACAAAGATGTGTTCCAGTACTCGCATCCCTTTGCCATCAAGGCCGCCGCCGGGGGTGCCTCGGACAACGCGAGCTCGTCTTCTGCGGCACCAACCACGACCAGCGGCAGCAGCAGCAGCGCCCCCTCCACCACCGACGCTCCTTCGGCCTCCGAGACCGTCAGCCCGACCGGAGCCTCACCCATCACCACCGATGCCTCAACCGCGACCGGCAGCTCGACTGCTACCGTCAGCCCTGTCAAGTCCATGACCACTTCCACCACCACCGGCAGCGCTTCTAGCACAGCAAACGCAAGCTCCACACCGGTTGCGGTTGCCGGCAACAGTGCGGTTGCTAAAGGTGCCAGCTCAGTTGCCCTTCTCGGTGGTCTGGCCATGGCCATCTTTGGGTTTTAGTTGTCTCTCCCATCTTTAACATATACCATTGCA